CACTGAAATAGAGATAAGAGAAGGTTAAGATAAAGGAAAAGGACAGCTCCCAGAAAAGAAAATCCAGTTCCTCCACAGCACCTACAAAGCTGAAGAAAACTGTATGAACTCACCCATACAGACCCTGGAAGCTGGATTCCAAGGCACTTGGAGAAGGTAGAATCAGAGCTGCTATCCATCAAGCTCTCCTTTTTTTATTTTTTTTTCCCCCCAGCCTGTATGCTGCAGCTATAACTTATTTGTCTGACAGTTACCTTGTACTTGGTGTTGTGGTATGCAAAGGTTATTGGAATTTATATGCAAAGCTCAATGAATTTAGAATTAAAAAATGCCTCAGGGACATTCCTGAAATGAGATGCCAAATCGCACAAGTTGTATCTTTATGAGGAAAATTTGAATAAAAAACACCAAGGTTTATTACTCTTGCACATATTAATTCATACCAATCCATATTATAAGAGGACTAAAGGGGCTATTTTTCATCCTGGGCTGAGAGAGGAACTCAGCCAGATTTACTGACTTGCTGTGAGAAATCTATTTTATCTGGCTGATAGATACTTTTAAAATGTAAATAACAACAGCGAGCTTATCACAAGGTTACCATTAGTAGCCCATAAAATGTTTGGCATTGCAGGTCACAAGAGATTTTGGGAACAAAATGAGCCAACCGGTTAGCAAAAATAGAACTTAAACTTAACACTTTATTTTCTGCCTTATATGAAAGCTACCAGGGCAGAAATCAAAGCAATTTTTATTACACATCCATCCCCTTGGCAACTAGCAATTACAATGACTTTGTGGGGGAGTCTAGAATTTAGAAAATACTGTTATAATTGTGCAAACTCACAAATTCTTAAATCATCTATGGCCCAGGTGTTCCGTCTGTCTAGAGAGAAAAAGGAAAACCAGCTGTCCTCTGGAAACCCCAGATATTCTCCTTAAGGAGCCCTGCCCATCTCTGTTCTCTCCAAGTCACATAGGTATCACTTTGGGCTTGTACCCTATTTGCTGTGTCATGAACTGATCTCTTCAGGATTACATTGTAGAGAAGCCCAAGGCTCAGAAGCTTGAAATATGACTACTGGCAAAAGATCACAAAGGCTAGAAGTTTCCTCTGCAGACAAAAAATATTTACATTAATCCTTTCAAATGTATCGAATAACTGAAATGACAGCAGTCATGATATTTCCATCCTAGCACGGCTGTTACTCATTTGTCCTCCTGCTGGTAAAAGCACATACTGCGATCTCTGTGTTTTTCATGCACGCATGCAAGCACACAGAAGCAGATGATGTGCTTTCAAGCCATCCACAGATGGTTTCCCCATGAGGGTTTACATTGCCATTTAAACCTCCTGCTTCACAGCCTCCTCTCGGTGTTGCAGTCCCTATTTTCTGTAATTAACTTCTGTTCCTCCTTCTTTTTTTTTTTTTTTTTAGGATGTTTTGTCTATGAATGAAATAGCATAATATACATGCAACAGGCTAAGTACAGATTTTTCTCCCTTGTATAGAAGTCAAGTGGAGGCAAAAAGTGTTCTCATGGCTCAAAACAACACTGATTTTTTTTTTTTTTTTTTTTTTTTTTTTTTTTAAACAAATGCTTTTCTCTGATACTTAGAGTCAACTGTCTCCCCAAAGCACCGTGATATTTAACAGCATCCGGAAAAAATGTGGTTAGAGAATTGGGACACTTAAAGGAGACACTGCTCTCCTAAGTGTGCATTCACATTTTTGAATAGATATTCAGAGGGTGGGAATGTAGATGAGGGAGAAGCTATGAAAGGGCTTATTACTAATTAACTGTATCTATTTCTCCTCCTTTTAAACTGCTTTTTGTTTATAATTTCAGCTGGTAGGGTAATACTCTAAATTAAAGCTGCAGAGCACAATTATAATTAAGATTCAAAAAGCCAATTGCCTGTTAGTAAACTACCAATTGATAATAATGTAAGGGATATTTATAGCTCTTTGCTAAGTATGCCTCAGATTTGCATCGATAATATACTTGCTAATCTCTAAACATTTTATTCAGTAGCCTTTTATTTACTATTGAAGGTAAGATTACTCTCACAAGCCATCCTTTATAAAAGCATCTCGCTTTCATCGTGTTTGCAGAGTTCAGCACAGATGCTTCAGTCCTTTCCTCGCCTATGAAATAGTAATGATGCTATATAATTGCTAACATCACACCATGCAGAAAACCTCGCCATAAAGAACATACTCTACACAGTTCAGCACTCATAATATCTTGCATTTCTATACCTCCTTCTTTTTGAGTCATCTCACATATTTTAGAGAGGGGAAAACAAACCACTCTACCCAGAAGAGGAATCAGCCAGTTGTGGGCAGAGCCCCAGACATACGGTCTGGTTTTCATTCCTTTCACAGGGAGGTGGGGCAAGACCAGTTTTAAGAGGTTAAAAAAATATATACTGAAGGGATAGACTTTATTTTGTGTTTGCTGTGTGTAACTGGGGGATTAATAACTAACTTTTATAATTTATTTCAACTGTTATAAGACATTTGTGTGTGGGGTGAAGTGTAAATAATTGTGATAGGAATATTTTGTGTGTGTGTGTGAAATGTGTTTCTTGCGTTACATATTTGCTGAAGTTTGAGGAGCCTCATAGTACTAATTATTGGAGTCATTAGGAGACACTGTGTATTGTCCCGTCATACGTTCAGCA